GCAATGGGATGAGGGGAAACGGCCTCAAGTTGTGCCAGGGCAGGTTTAGACTAGACATTAGGAAAAACTTCTTCACGGAAAGGGTTGTCAGGCTCTGGAATGGGCTGCCCAGGGAAGTGGTCGAGCCCCCATCCCTGGAGGTATTTAAAAGAAGGACAGATGAGGTGCTCAGGGACAGGTTTTAGTGGTGGGATGGCAGGGTTAGGGTAAAGGTTGGACTTGATGATCTCAAAGGTCTTTTCCAACCAAAGTGATTCCATGATTCTATTCTAAGGGCTGACAGCTTAAACCCTGATCCATAGGGGATCGTCCTCGTAGCGAGGCCAGGCTGGGATATCAGCCCACAGGCAGTGCCAGGGGCAGGCCCGGGGAGGGCGGCCATGGTTAGGTGAGGCCATTAAGGCCTATGAGTAACTGCACATCCTTTACTAAAGCACCAGAGAATGCACACATTAAAGAAGTATGTTAGAAAAGCCCCAGCTGGGACATCTGCCTCATTAAACACGAGAAAATTCAAGCATGAGACAGCAATGAGTAAGTTCTGCTGCTCGTGGCACTTCTCGTTGATGCGAGTTGAGCGGCATTCTGGAAGTAAACCAGGATTTGGGGCTCACAAATCACAAACACGAGCAGTGAGCGCGAGGCAGACACTTCTCTTCCATAATAGGCTGGTGGTGGAGGGCTGCCTCGGTGCTGGAGGAAATACCCGGCCTTTTTCGTGCTGCTGGTGATTTAAGCTGCCGTCACAGAAAGGCAAATGCCTTCTCGGTGAGATTTAAGAGTATCATTGCTTTGCTGGCTCAAAGAGGATGGAAATACAGACGGAGGCTCCACGTCTCAGATACAACCTCAGCGGTTGGACTTGATGATCTTAAAGGTCTTCTCCAACCTAAACGATTCTCCCGATTCCACGATTCTATGACCTCTCGCAAATGGCGTTAATGACTTAAGTGCTCCAGGGTAAACGCGCAGATTTTCCACGTGAGCTCCAGCGCCAGTACAACTCTGTACGCCCTTGAACACCGCTGTTTCCCCGCGCGGTATGGCGTGGGTGGGTCACTTTATTCATTTCAGGATGCGAAGCGTATTTGTGCTGCGCTCTATTACCAAGCGGAAGTCACGGGAGGAATTCGGCAGCATCCCATCTTTCCTCGGGGTCAGCTTTCCAAGCGCCAGGGTTGCCACAGTTCGGGCACGGAGGGTGTTTGAGGGCGGGTTGGTTTTTATTACTTAACTATTTAATTTTTTTTATTACTTTACTTAACTATTACGCGCGTTTTTCATTACCCACTTTGCGCAGACCCAGGGAACCCGCGGGCCGTCACCCGGCAACGTAGCCCCGCCCCCGGACACG